CCTCCTCCTCCCCTCAACACGGGACTCCTCTCTCTGTCTCCTCCTCCTCCTCCCCTCAACACGGGACTCCTCTCTCTGTCTCCTCCTCCTCCTCCTCCCCTCAACACGGGACTCCTCTCTCTGTCTCCTCCTTCTCTTCACACTGTACTCCTCTCTCCTCAACACTGGACTCCTCTCTCTTTCTCCTCCTCCTCCTCCTCCTCTCCTCAATATTGGACTCCTCTCTCTTCCTCCTCCTCCTCCTCCTCTTCTCCTCAACACTGGACTCCTCTCTCTTCCTCCTCCTCCTGCTCCTCTCCACACTGGACGCGCTCCATGTTTCCGTTAACCCCCCCTGGCCAGCTGTCCTCTTCGGTGTGTCCGTCTGTCTTGCTCGCCGGCTCACCCCCCTCCTCCCCCGCTCTGCGCAGACAAGGCCGGTGGGAAGAAGTTCTCCAAGGACTTCGAGGACGGCAACGCGAAGCTGGAGGAGTTCGTCTCCTTCCTGGAGACCCAGGTGTGTAGCGGCCCCAAGCTGATCGACGCGCTGGAGAACGCCGACGTCTTCTACGAGATGCAGTACAAGGAGGTCAAGATCGTCGCCAATGTGAGTCTGGGGCTGGGACCCGGGTGACCTCTTGCAGCTTTACAGGGGTTTTCCAGTAGTTGGGGGGCCTTGTGGGATGTTATGGAAAGAAACAGGTTTTCTTGGCGCGTAGGTTTAATTCCGAATCTTTACAGAACCGCACTCGGTTCTCCTAGAGAGCTCAGGCTGAGAGTCACTCCCATCCTGTAGCTGGATCAGGCTCGTACTCGGGGTTTATAAGGGCACCTGCAGAACTCTGAGCGGGCGAGGTGCAGGGAGGCCGCCAGCGCAGGGCCGTGGACTTGGCTCTGGTTCCAGGCTCTCGCAGACGTGCTCTGTCCTGTTCACGTCCCTCTGGGACAGCTCCGGGGACGATCGCGCCGCAGAGCGCGAGGGAGCTGTCCCAGAGGGCCGGGGACGATCGCGCCGCAGAGCGCGAGGGAGCTGTCCCAGTCCTGCTGGTTCTCAGCGTGGCCAGAGTTCCCCGGCTCCGGCCCGGCTCCAGCCCCACTCCTGAGCGGCGGGTTGGATTTTGTCCCCCCCCCAGGCCTACAAGACGTTTGCGAACCGCGTGAACAACCTGAAGAGGAAGCTGGACGTGCTGAAGGCGTCGCTGCCCGACCCCGAGGACTCGCCCATCCCCTCGCCCAGCGAGGACGCGCCCTCCCCCACGGGCTCGGAGTCCCCCTTCCACGGCATGGGGCGCGCCGAGGGGGACCCCGACATCGACGGGCAGGCCATGGACGAGCCGGAGGGGGGCGCCAGCCCCCTGTCGTCCGCCAGCCCCCCCACCCACAGCGCGGACAACCGGGACGTGCAGGACATGGAGCTGTCCGAGGAGGAGGAGACGGAGAGCGCCAACATCATCGGTGGGCATGGCGGCCGCTGGCGGGCTGATTGCCGGGGGGGAGGTGGAAGCAGTGCGTTCGCTGGCACTACTGCCGCGTCTCTGTGTTTTGCAGTGGAGGAGAGGAGGGAGAAGCCCGCTCCTGCGGAGTCCAGTCCAGCCCCGGTCAGCCGGGCCTCTGAGGCACCCGCAGCCAAGCAGGTGACCCCCCCGGTGAGCGCTTCCCCCGCGCGGACCCCCGGCACCCCTGGGACTCCGTCCCACCCGCTCCCCGTCAACCTGGCCAACGTGGATCTGGGCAAGATCAGCTCCATCCTCAGCTCCCTCACCTCCGTGATGAAGAGCACAGGTGAGCTGCCCCCTGAGGCCGGCCGGCCTCCCTCCCTCCTCCTCCTCCTCCTCCTCCTCCTCGGCAGTGTCGCCCTGCCCCTTGCGACGCCAGCTGCCCTCTCCCTCTCTCTCCCCCTCTCTCAGGTGTGAGCCCCGTGTCCAGGCCTTCCCCCGGGACCCCCGGCACGCCCACCCCCCACGGCGCAGTCCTGAAGCCCCCCCCTCCGGCCGCGGGACCCCCTGCCAACCCCCTGGCCAGCATCCTGTCCCGCGTGGACATCACGCCCGAGAGCATCCTGAGCGCCCTGTCCAAGACGCAAGGCCAGACCACCGGGCTGCAGGGTAGGCCTGTCTCCGTCTCGGCGGTCTCGGCGGGTCTGCTGAAATCCCGCGAGTCTTGCGTTTGACGACTCTTTCTCCTCCCCCCCCCAGGCCTGTCGTCTCTGCTGCACAGCGTGGCGGGGAACAGCTCTCACAACGCGGGGGCCGCGGGCGGGGTCCCCAACTCCGGCAAGGAACGGCCGGCCCCCCCCGCCGGCGCCAACCAGGCCCCCCGCGGCCACAGCGGCCCCTCGCAGAGCTCCCCCACCCCCACCCCGGCCCCCGCGGACGCCGCCGCCGCCTCCTCCTCCTCCTCCTCGTCCTCCTCCGGCCCCGCGGGCAAGAGCGCCCCCTCGGCGTCGGCCAAGCACAAGCTGCCGGCCCGGAGCGGCTACAGGAGCGCCAGGGACTCCGAGAGGGAGAGGGAGAGGGCGAAGGAGCGGGAGAGGGAGCCGCCTGTGCCGGCGGCCCCCACCTCCTCTTCCTCCTCCTCCTCCTCCTCTTCTCCCTCCAGCCTGGAGATGAAGATCCACAAGTTCCTGCAGGGCAACCCTGGCTTCAGCGCGCTGAACCTCAACATCCCCATCCTGGGCGGCGCGGGGGGCGGCACCGGCAGCCCCTCCCTGCCCGTCGCCCAGGGCAACAGCTGCCCGGACTTCGGGCACCTGCGCCTGCCCCCGCCCGCGGACAACGTGGACGGGACCCCGGTGCGGGACGAGAGGGGGGCCACGCCCACGCAGGACGAGATGATGGACAAGCCCGCGGGCGTGGAGACCATGTCCCTCCTGTCCAAGATCCTGAGCCCCGGGTCGTCGTCCACCCCCGGCAGCAGCACGCGCTCCCCGCTGTCCGCGGCCGCCCCCGGGAATCCTGGGAGGGCCGGCACCGTCTGCTCCTCGTCGGGCTCTTCCGCGCCCGCCGCCCTGCCCCCCCCCTCCTCCTCCTCCTCCTCCTCCTCCTCCTACAAGGCGTTCGGCCAGGGGGGGCGCGACCTGTCTCCCACCGCGTACCGGGGGGGCGACTCCTGGGAGAAGCCGGACTTTTCCGAAGCCCTGCCCGCGGCAGGATCGTTCTATCCCCGCGACGCCTCGGGATTCGGGGAGGCGGAAGACGAGTACCCCGGCTTTGGGGGCCCCCCCACCTCGGCCCTCTTCAACCTGGACAAGAAGCCGGCCAAGTCCATCCTGAAGTCCTCAGCGGGCGGAGGCGGGAGGGCGCCGGAGGACCACAGGCGGAAGAGCGGGGTCTCCTCCTCCTCCTCCTCCTCGGCGGCTGTGTCGGCGGCCGCCAGCTCCCCGCACGCCGCCCCCGCCGACTCGCTCACCGCAGCGCCCCACAAGCCCAGGGAGCGGACGAAGGAGGGGTACCCCTTCGGCGAAGGGGGCGGGG